AAACACGTCCACTGTGGCTGCACGGACCCGGTGGGATGGTCGGCGCTTGCGTCGGCGGCGCCGGTGGGGTGCGCAGCGACGGGCTTCCATCCGCACCGCAGACACTCCCTGCGTGAGCGGAAGTTGTGCGCACTGCACTTCTTACACATCCAGTCGCCGGGGAGCAGTTGCGGGCCGTTCCCCTCGCGCTGCCTGTCATTTAACCTCCGCGGAGCCTCGCACGACAGACAGACCTCCCGCCTCGCGAAGTTGTGGGCCCCGCAGGCACACATCCAGTCACCCCGCCTGAAGCTACTTTGCTGCGCGTCCACCACCGTCCGCGGCTCAGTACCGACGAGAGGAGGCTCCGACTTCGCCCGGTGGCACTGAAAGCACACCGCCCTCGAGGCGAAGTTAGAAAACCCGCAGGAGCAAGTCCAGTCACCGGCAACACGCGGGAAAAAATGCGGCGGCGTCGCCTGGTGCAGTCCCCGGCATGAACCCGCCACCGCCGCCGCCACCGCCGCCGCCACCGCCGCCGACACCGCGCACCGAAGCCTACTAAACATACACGCAGCACTGCCCACAGCGCCCAGTCAACGCATAAAAGCAAATCAGAGGGATATCGAAAAGGGACAAGAGGAAAAAAGTCAAATAGCCGCTGCAGCAGAGAAACACGCACAATGGCGCGACAACGCCCGTCATGCAGGGAAAAATGAAAAAACAGTAAGAAGGAAAACGTCAGCTAACCCACCATCATCGGCGCATTCACCCTCCTCCTTCGTCTTCATCCACTATTCATCAATCCGCGCGTGACAACTGCATGAAGGGGCTTTCGTCTCGCTTTTTTTTTTTCGGCTGTGGCTGCTCCTACTATTTTAGCCAAGAAGGAAAGAAAGTATCCATACAGGTATATGTAAATCTTGTCTCACTTGTTAGTTTGTCTACTTCTGTCCTCTGTCCTTTCATTTCTGGAAGTACGCAAGATGGCTGTTTATTACTAAAATAAAACTTCTAAAATTTCCTTTGGGATATTATTTCTTTTTTTTTTCTTCCTTTTTTTTTTGCGCTCATTGGGTGAGTGCCCACTAACGTGGCGGGGCCCCAAGAAGGTTAAGCCCACTCCTCGGCGTCGGTATTGCCCTCGTCGACGAAGGCCGTAGCAGCCGGCGTTGCATCTCCCTCTGCTTCTCTAGCCAGCGAAGGGGGCGGCGCGGCTGGCGTGTTGCCGGGCGAATACATAGCCGCGGCAGACGCCAAGTGATGTAGGTCGGCAGGCAGCCCCGAAGCATCGCCGCACGAAATCGTGGCGGACTTGGACGGCTGCGGGGACTCAAAGCCAGCAGCGCCTGCACCCTCCTCCTGAATAGTTCCGGTTGGCTGTTGCCCCAAAGGTTCGCTGTCTGTGTTTCGCTGCGGGGTTTGCTCCTCAAGTTGCGGTGCTGACGCCGGTAGGCTCCGCATATTTGGGAAGAGGTTCGGATACGCCGTTGGGCTGGCAATGGCCTCACGCACGCGCGGCAGCGAGGCGACTGCGACCTTCCACCTCGTGACGACCTCTTCCACCTTGCTGTGGCAGTAGGTGCGGGCGTAGAAGGCGGCCTCGGCGACCTTCCCGGTGCGACAAAGCAAGTCCACGTTATCCGCGTAGCGCCCTGTTAGGTGGAAGCATGTGAAGGCGACATTTGCCTTTCCGTTCGCCACACACGCGTCTCCCAGCTTTGACGTAGCGTCCATGTCCCCCTTGCAGGAGTAGAGCAACAGGAGGCCGTTGCTGTCGCCGCAGTTGCGCAGCGCCTCCTCTGCTAGCTCGAGCATGCCCTTCTCAAGGGCCAGGTCCGCCACCTGCTTCCAACGCACCATGGACGGGGACCGCTCCGCTATCTCCCTTGCCAAGGCAAGCCTTCCCAGCTGCACCGCCAGATCGAAGCGATGGTCCTCGTCAGTGGTGACTTCCAGCGCCAGCTCAAGATAGTTCTTTGCTTGCAGGAACTGTGCTAACCGCAGTCGCTCGCTCGCTGCAATGGAAGGAAGCAGTTTCTCAGCGGCCGCAAAGTCCTCGCGGACGATCGCCGCCATGTATTCAATGAAGCTCAGGCGAAGCAAGTAGCTTGTGATGTTCTTTTCCTTGTCAATGCATAAAATCCGGTTTTCCCTTGTCAGGTATCCAAGGAGGTACTGGTTCCGCGACAGCACCGCAATGCTGTTTGTCTCTCCGCCAATGTAGTAGTTCAGTCGATGCGCCTGGTTGACAAACACAAGGCAATCGCCAACCCAGAGCACCTCCTTCACACTCTCGCCAACCTCCTCTACAACGTCAAAGGCAAAGTCAAGCCCCTCCTCTGGGGTGCTCTCCTGCGTCTCAAGGTACTCCATCACCGCCTCACTGCTGAATCGCAGCGTAAAGAAGGCGGTGTCAGAGACTATTGCCAGCAGCTCCCCACTCTCGCTCCACTGCACCATCTTCGGACACTCGTCGATCTGGCGAATGAGATTCAGTGTTGCCCAGTCGTAGAACGTGACACTGGATGCCGTGCAAACCCCCAAAAGCGGACCACTGAACAACCTCTCTGAAGATTCATTGAGGGTGATTGTTGCACGCTCCTTAAAATTTTTATAAATCTTCAACGTCATTGAACTCTCCAACACGGCGTAGGAGCCATTCTCAGGACCCCACACAAAAGAGGCACACCTGCCGTAAGTTTTGGGCCGCATGGAGAGCGAGGAAAGAATCGTGTAGTCATTATCTCCAATCACGGCAATAAATTGTCCACTAGGGCCATGCAGAATCGCAGAGGGCGAGGTCTCGAGCGCGCCCATGTCCTTTGTCGGTAGCAAAAGCACATCACCATCGGCCACATCGGCTGAAATACCTTTTGCATCAATACGCGTCACCTCACTTCCGACGGCCACGAGAATTTTTCCGGCGGGGTCCATAGAGTACACGGGTTTGTCCTCGCCCACCTTGTATACCACCGTCCCGCCGTCGTATCCAACCACCAAAACGTTCGTGTGGCGTCTTGCCGCCATTGACCAGCCCCGATTCATGCGAGAATGGTCAACACTGAGAAGAAGGCGGTGGGTCTCCGTTGCGATAATCTTCATCTCCATATCCTCCGCTAATGTAAAGAGCACAGGTTGACTTGGGTGAAACAGGACTGCAGTAACATTTGCTGTGTGGTAAGAAAATACCTGTAGACAGGCCTTTGTCTGATAGTCCCACAACCGCACGGTTTGATCATCCGCGCCGCTAAGTAGGTAGGGCTTGTCACCGCCGGGGTAGTAGTCAACGCAGTTCACGCCATCTTCGTGCCCCTCAAGCTGAAAATTTGGCACCGGGCTGTTGATGCTCCACACCTTTACGGTACAGTCTAGCGAGGCTGTGGCAAAGGTGGAGGGGTCCTTGGGGTTGAACACGACGCCCATGACGTAATGCAAGTGGCCTTCGTGGGTGCTTACATGCGCCCAGTTTTTGCTCCAGTCCCACTGCCGGATCGTCATGTCATCCGAGGAGGTTAAGATAATCGGCAGCTGCTCATGCACCGCAATGCCGCGGATGTAGTCGTCGTGCGCCTGAAACGTCTTCGTCTTCTCCATTGTGTTGTAGTTGAAGACGCGAAGCATCATGTCATCCGTGCCGCAGACGAAGGACTGAAGTCGCGGAATGAACCGCACACACCGCACCGGCAACCCTGTGCCCGTGTCGAACGACCTGAGCATCACCTGCGTCTCGAGGTTCCACAGGTTGATCACGCCAGAGTACAGCGAGCAGAGGAACAACGGCTCCTTCGGGTGCATGTCCACCATCTTCACCCGATCACTGGGCGCCGACATCAGCGTCCCCAGTGCCGTCAGTGCTCTGCCTGACATGGCTCGTCCGATTCACCCACAAAATGCGCAGAAGCGGGTGAGGGGGGAAAAAAAAGAAGGCACTCCTCTTATTCCCCGCTCTCTATGACCGTCACCGTTCTTTGCTTATATATATATATATTTGTTCCTTCCCTTTTCGCTCTTCTACCGCAGCCGCCCTGCACGCGCGTGTGTGTGTGTGTGGAATAAGAAAGCAGGAGGCGAGAAAAATGAGGCGACTGAGTGTGGGGGGATCGTTGCGGCACCAAACCGCGGCCCAAGACGTGCAACATGAGAAGCCGCTCAACTCGCTGCTCCCGCGAGGCTGCGGCGCGCGTGCCGGCTGACGCAACTGCCGGGGACAAAGAACAAAGAAGAAAAATTTCCACCAAATAAGAAACAAGAGGCCTACGCCATCGCAGGTAAACGCGGGGGCGCGCGTCCCCCACGCCGTCCCCCAGCGCGGGTGGAGGGGCGGGGGGACGTCGGAAGAGCGACGCACAAAAGTGTAACTCCCCCCCCCAAAAAAAAAACGGGGGAAAAAGTATTCCTCTTCACACGAGCACAATACATCCCCCCTCCCCCCCTTTTTTCCGCTGCACTCGCAAAACCGCACAAAGCAAAAGAAAAAAAAAGGCACCCAAACGAGAGAAAAAGAAAAAAAAAGGTCCAAGTCTCAAAGAAGCACAAAGAGAGAGGGACGTACAAAAAAAAAAACTAACGCGCCCTGCACCGGAGTGAGCAAAACAGCAGCAATAGCAAAGAAGTAGAAGGGGGGTGAAAAAAAAAGTGAAATGTATAT